CCCCTTGAATGTGTGACTGGACTCTCCAGCCTCCTTAGATTGTCGATAGTCTTAACTTATATAATATATGATCTAGTCTCTACTGCTTGATGTCACGACTTATTTACACCATAGGAAAATGCAAAGTCAATTTAAGGGCTCCAGTTGTGTAGAGTACAGTTCTATAGAATTTTTGCAATAATAATGTATATAGTGTATATAACATATATTTTTGGATAAAATAATTTTCAGTCCAGCGACTTATGTATATACATATACTTCATATTTCTCAATCGCTGGCAACGGTATATAATTTTAGTTGAATATCTGAAAAACTGTTGAAGTAATGGAAGTAACGATATAGTAGAAATTGAAAAAGATTTCACAAACTGTAGACATATTTAATTGTGTAAAAAAATTATACGAATTTAATTTGGGCTCAAATGAATGAAAGTATATTAGTTTACGTTTAGATTTAATTGCATTTTGCCGATCATTAGACAATACGAATATTTCACTTGGAATAAGTGCGAAAAGCTTGCGGAAATATAATTATTTAAGCAATCATATTTAATTTTAATAAATATACATATGTTGTAAATTATTTAAAGTTCATATAACTACAGAAACCAATTTACAAAATAATTCATTATTATTTTTGTTTTTCAAATAACAACATATATATTATATATTTATATATGTGCAGTTATAGCTTGATTGGCTTTAAACTGTTTAAATATGAGCGTCGCGTATATATAGAGATATTGATATATTATCTACGTTTAATTTTGCAAAATGTATACCAAATATACTATAGATACGCCAGGCTCATCACACATATTCAATATAGCATTCATTTTGTGCTTATAGAGTAAATACGCGTGCTTAAACATGTTAGTTTGCTTTGCCGCTGAAACTGCAATTTGGCGAGATTCTTTGGTGATTCTTAATATCTGTGTGCGGGGATTCATTTAAAGACGACGCGCTCGTTGTTGAGGATGATTGTTTGATAGCTCCAACATTTGCTTCGCCTTCAGATTCTTTAACACAGTTTCGCCCATTTCCATTGTCAGTTGCAGTTGGAGGCGTAGTTGCAGTTGTTGATGTTGATCTATTAAGAGAGGAATGTCCATCCGCTAATCCGCTGCTATTGCTACTAAGCGCCATTCGCTGCATTTGTCGTATGACCGTTGCAGCATAATATGCTTGCTGTATAAGTAGCACAAGACGCAAGTATGAGACATATATATTATATAGAGACATATATTATATAGGGAGAATAGTTCGGCTTACTTTCCATCGGCTCTTGGCAAAGTTTTTCTTCAGCTGCTCCGATACAGTGCCATGAATATTCTTGCTGCTAGCCTCATTACCAGATATCCTAGAGGTGAATATTATTCAATATTATTAATACGAAATTCAAAATTGATTCTTGTTGAACTCACCATGGATGTCCCAAAGCTTGCTTGCAAGTATATCGCTTTTCTACACTGACACACATTAAGTTTTTAATAAAGTGCTTGGCTGACTCGCTTATTTCGTCCCAATATGGCGAATCGAATTCAAATTCGCCTTGAAAACAATATATTCTTATAAGTAAAATATATTTTTAGAAATACCAATTATGTAGGCAGAACTTTTTGATCAAATCCTTGAAAATTTAGTAAATTATCGATGCTTAAACAGTGGATCTAGGATTCAATACGCTGTCATGCCCATTTGTAATCGATTCAGAATTATTGAGCTCGATATAAATTTTAAATTGTAGCATGGTGTTTCACTGAGTTTCGTTAACCTTTGTAATTCCCAATTTTCATGTCGCGTCGCTCGAAAAAGTGAAATACATAATTAAACATACCTTTAAGAATTTGTGCAAATAAATTGGCATCGTTTTCATCATAAAAGGGAGGATATCCGCAAAGTAGTATATAAGATATAACTCCTATGCTCCATACATCAACGGCTTTGCCATAAGGTTTTTGGGCGAGCACCTCTGGTGCCACATAGCCAGGAGTTCCGCAAGCAGTTGCCATAATTCCCGAATCCTCCATTTTCGATAAACCAAAATCACTTATCATTATTTTACTATCATCTTCTGGACTGTAGTAAAGTAAGTTTTCGGGCTGCGCAGCAAAAATATGTAATATATATGTATATATATTCAAATAAAAGTAGTTATACATATATCTTATTATACCTTACCTTAAGATCTCTGTGTACTACGCCCTGTTCATGCATATAGTCTACAGCCTCTAAGATTTGTCTAATTAAGTGAGATGCATCCTTCTCCGTATATGAGCCCTTCTCTACGATACGATCGAACAATTCTCCACCTGTTACCCTATAGAAATCGTATTTTGTATATATCTTTATATATTCATATATATATATATATATATATATAGAATTTTTGAAGTTCAATATGCATACAATTCCATGACCAGATACACCTTAGCCTTGTCTTCATATGTCTCAAGTAGTTGCACTATGTTCGGGTGGGTCAGTCTGTAAATAGAACAAACCAAATGAAATAGTAAAATATATAAATAAATTATAAAATATAATATATTAAAATTGAAATATTCATTGAAGATATTTGATTTTAGAGCCCTACTTCTAGTAAAATTATGAGGAATTTCGGACGAAATCTATCTAACTTAAGATGTAGTTATATCTCTTATTTGACTTAAAGACGGGATATTTTTGACTGTTTTTTTGAAATTGGGATCAAAACTCACCGCGTTCCATTCGGAATGTTGCCATCAAAATGGTTTGCACTAAACCTACATAGAAAGAAAGCAGATTAAATGAAGAAGAAAAATTTACAAATTAAAATAATGAGAACATAAAATGAAAAAGAAACACAAACACAGTACGAATTTTGAACTCAAATCGAGACTTAACGCAGCTCAAGATTAGTTAAGAAAACTATCTATTCAATCATAAGTGTATATAAAAATAAATGTAGAAGGGCTACTTATCATGCAAACATAATAAACAATGTAATACATATATGTACAAATATCACAGAAATAGAAAGCTTTTAAAGCCTGCATATATTGCCGTACTCGTTTGCAGCTCGCTTTTGTATTTTTAATGTGTGTGTATGCAAATTGTTAACAGAGAGGATTTTAAGTGTATAAGATTTATAAACATCCTTCAATATATGTGGTCGGTCTTCATTGAATACAGATTTTTTTTCCTTTCCTTTCCCCTGTTCGTATCTTTTTACTTCGATCTTTCTTTCTGCTCCTTTGATATCCAAGCCCGTTCCCATTTCCCCTTTCTTCCTCATTTATTTTGTATCCTTCTTTTTCTGCTTCTTTTTACTCTGATATTCTGCTTCCCTGTCTCTATTCCTTTTTACCTTTTTCTCCTATTGACAATCCGATCATAAATGCTAAGGAGTATTATGCAGTCGATTGTGTCCGACAGCAACGCTTAAGCTTGCTTAAGTTACACATACCTTCGCAGAACACGTATTTCATTTTCCAAAGATTCTTCTTTTCCTTTCAATGCCTTTTTATCAATGATTTTAACTGCAAAGTGATCGCCCGGCGTATCTTTGCTTTCTGCTAAGCGTACTTCGGAAAATGCGCCGCTGTAGTTTGTTTAGTAAAATTTGTTAGGTATGTAAGGACATTAAAAGATTATTTACTTACGTTCCGAGTAGACCATGAAGATTATATTTTTCTTCAATTGAGACCTGTTTGTTTAGCTCCTTCGCGTCCTTCGACTTGGGCCTTTTGCCAGAATCTTTTTTGCCAAACAGTGGCATCACTTCAAATCTTTGTATTAATCAATTTATCAAGAAAATTTAGCATCGATATCTTTCAAACTAATTTTGCTTTCGGTTGAGCGAATTTCCAGATGTTTAAAAAGAATATTTTCCAACTATACATATACATATATAATACTGCTAATGATATAATTTCAGCAAAAATTTGTTTGTTTATTTATATATAAATGTTTGTACAGACGTAGGTACGCACATGTAGAGTCAATAAAGAAACATGCAATTATTTTGAGCAGTCAAAGGTTACTTCCAAACTGATTAGGTTTTAAAAATATTATTTACATTATTTAATACGCACACAATTACATAGGCAAATGTATGCACACATATGTATGTACATGTATACCTAAATCTAATACGGAATTTATGGATTTTTCTACAAATATTTAGATTAGCATGAGAAGTTTGTAGATCTCGAAAAATCTAATTCATATACATACATACGCATACATATGTATGTACATTCATCACATCCACATAGGCATTTACATATGTACATATATGCAGTCTAGTTTCTGTTTACATTTTTTTTGTTTAAATTAAACCATATATGTATAAAGCCAGCAGTGGTGTTATAGCCAATATGTACATATGTATGTATGTGTAGTATGTTGGGCCGCCCTGTGTAATCATTTTATCATATCATTCGGAGATACGCACGTACATACATACATACATGTCTGTACATATGTACATATGTATTCAAAAAATTTTCATTACCATAATCTGTTAGTAAGTATATAGAAATCGACTTACTATATTTATATTAATAAATTGTTTGCAATTAACGTTTTAGAAGTGATATACACATATTGTTATATGATTATAGTAATAAATTTCTAGTTGACTTACATTTTAAATCACGGCTTAAATTTATATGTATGAATTTGATATACCACAATATTTCATTTATTTTGCATAATGCAACGTTTCAAATACAAATAAATTACACTTTCAAAATTTATTACTATTAAAGAAGTAAGGTGTTTGCAAAAATAATGTAATATGAATTATATTGATTTTTCAAGTCTGCAGATCTTGTTCTGTATATTTACAAAATATCGCTTGGTCACACTATCATCGCGCAGCTTAGAATCGGAGACTAAACTTTTTCAAATCGGATAGAACTGTAAATTTGGTATTTTACCTTACAATATTTTAATAAAAAATAATTTAGACAGCTCGTTAAAGCTCATGCAAAAGAAATGCGTACTTTGATATGGAAGCCAGATAATGCATTTTTGTTATCGAGCAGCGATTAATGTATTTTTATATCTAATGAAAAGACCGCCAATAATTCAATCACTAACCATAGAATACATAGACCGTACTAGTAGTGTAAAGCTTTTTGCCCACTTTCTTTCGAGCATTAGCACCCCACCAGTGCTGTCCTAATTTTTCGAATAAGAGCCAGCTTGACAAAAAAACGAAGCTAAAAAGAGCTAAATTTAAAAAAAAAAATTAAGCCAAAATTAAAGTTGGAACTAAAACCATTATATTCTTAGTTAAATTCATTTATTATTATATAATATATTTTCATAATTTAGACATTGTTAAATTTTATTATAAGCAGTTTGACGGCCTAAGCTTTTAGCGAACCAATTATATTCCCATATATGAGATATTCCAGCCCCAGAAACAGGTCCCTATACTAAATTTAAGGTCTCTAGCATCAATAGTGTCCAGAACATAGCAGAATTTGAAAAATCACTATATCTTCAGATGCGATTTGCAACGCCCCTGGTGGGCATAGACACATAATTCTTTCATCAATCTTTATAGAATCATAACATTAGCTCGCGTGAATCGGGAAAATTTTAACACTTTATAAGTGTTCCAAGTTTCAAGTCTCTAGCATCAATAGCACCGAAATAAACTGCGTTCATACGGAAAGATGGGCGGACAGCAAGACCGACATTGCACAAAACCAATATACTCATTTTACTTTCGTGAATGAGTATAAATAGAGGGCGTGTAATTTTTATTTATTGAGCTGCTTGGTACATCTCACATCAATTGATTCGTCCAAAATTAAACTTAATTTGGCTAACGAAAATGAGGAGCAAACGCATTTTTATTATGTATGTATGTACATTTAGTACGGTATTGCTAAATTTGTTCGACCAAGACTGCTCAGGGGGTTGGTGGGAGCAATCGACGTGTGCTTTGCCACAAAGAGGCAAATTGCTACCTTTTGCTCTGTGGTTTTCGATGGAGTTGATTGATTGTAAGATAGAAAATAATGTATCGATACTTGTATTCATGATTTTTAGTGTTGATAAAGATAAAATCGAAATAAATCGTGAAAATTAAATAAAGCTAAAATAGAGCTAAAATTATTTTATTAAAGCCAGACATGAAGAACAAAGAATTTTACAGCAGAAAATGTTAAATTTTATACTTTGTATTTGCTCGGCTTGGTCGCTGGAGGCTCTAGCAGTCCCAAAATGTACGTAATGATCTGTGTATGCATAGAGTTCTGCTATTTTGTAAGCTATTTTAAATTTATTTTTGGCTACTTTCAGCTATTTTGTAAAAGCGAGTTTGCTATTTTCATGTTTAAAACGAACATGAATAAAAGCGTTGGGCATCATAAAAATTATGTTTTTTTAGGCGACGAGCATGCACACAGTCCCTCAGTCCCTCGCTAAATGTATAAGCATTTGTGTTCGCAACTCTTTCTGTCTGTTCTAATTCAACATTTGTCGCTAGTCGGTCTTACGGACTAGGCCTAGCAAATGTGGTCCACCAACTTAACATTTTCTGCTGTAAAAACTTTGTTCTACATGTCTAGTCTATGTGTTGTCAGTGAGTAGCAAGCAAAAACGAGCTATTGAACTAAACTGAGCCGTATTGAAGGAACAAGTTCAGTGGCTCAGTTCAGTGAGCCATTCATTTTGGCCCACTCACACATAAGCTACCCAAGTCTACCCTTTATGTTCCGTGTAGACACTGACTGACCAGACAACACATAGATGAGACATGTAGAACAAATTTTTCTACAGCTCGA